GCTGATTTTAACTATTCTGTAACACTTTTCGGTAACTTAGTTACACTTGTTTCTTTCACAAGCGAACGATTTCGACGCTCCTTGAAAACAAAATGAGGTGGTTAACTCACTGCGTTGCATACAATTACTATCTCAAATTCTATTTCATTTTTATTGCACTGTTGTTCTCAGGATGACTGAAAAGCAGCATCCATAAAATACCACAACAGCCGATAAACGAAGCAAACACGATTACATTATTCAAAAGTGTCACAACATACACTTCAAACGTTGCTGATAAGTAACATTTTCTAGAGTCTGAAACTGGTTCAAGACAGTTCAGACACTTAGTTTTCACTGCAACAAACAAAACGAACATGAAGTGCGAAGAGGGAGGAAATGGGGTGAATCTCTGGAACCCCAAAAAAAGCATTCAGAAGATTTTCACCCTCAGAAAATTTATTTTCTTTTTTTCAGTCTGAGCTCCCAGTTTATCACATTTGAGATGACGGTCTGGGAAGCAAACTGCAACTTTACTTCACCGTAGAAGTCAAATGCTCTGCAATTCCTGTAGTGCTAATTTGATGGCGCCGAATACGTCGGAACACACGCACAGCGCTTTTCGTATGCTTCTCCTGCTGTTTTTAAATGCAGCAAGAGAGGTGCACAAAGGAGGAGATGGAAGAAAAAAGGCGATGTCCGCCATCTTTTGGGGGCTAAAGCACGACAGTCATTGGGGTGACATGTAGTGAAGTCAATTTTGACCGAAAATACTCATACGCTTAGTCCAGAGACGTTTGCTTTTTCAGAACTGCACAGTTCTGATTAAAAGTGCGCATGATTTGAGCGCGATCAACGTTTTATGAAGACAAAACATGTTCCAGCAACAAGAAAAGCATCGGCAGTCCATTCAGCAGAGGATACAAATGCCGTCTCTCTGACAAAATGATACATGGAGTGAGTTGCAAACTTCAGGAATCTACTGTGTAAAAAGCAACGAGTTTCAGATCTGCTGCACATTATAATTCTTTTTGCAGAGGCCAGAATCGAAACATCCAAAGTATCCGGTGTAAACAGCAGGCCAAGTGCGCTTCCAGTTCCAATATTGTCATTCCTTGGTCAAAATAGTACCCGTTTGACTCGACAGTGCAGTATTTGCTCCAGTGGCATCTCTTTTTTCCTTTTTTATTCGCATCAAATACTACGG